TCACAGTGCTAAAAAAAAAAAAAAAAAAAAAAAAATTATGCATTCTGTCTTTTCCCAGAGAAATATTTTCTAGATCATTGGTGGATGCCACTAACTCTTGAATGAATGTAGCAGGATACAGTTGTGGGAAGGGGAACACTTTAAAATGTTGCTTTTTAAATAAGATATTTGTCACTAGAATTTTTTCTTTTTAAGTATATAAAGACTGACTATAGACATTTATATAGAATGTCATGAAAGGATTTAAAAAGAAGTATTAGATTTTAAAATTTCATGACTTCTTTCTAGAATAGTATTATGATATACTATATCAATATTGTCAATTTTATGAGGATTTGTTTTTGAATTTCAATATGCAGAGGGGTTAATAGAAAAACCTTAAATGAATATTCAGTGTAAATAACAATTTACAGTGATTGAGTCTTTAATGAGCATTTCATAACAACCATACAAACTTTGTTCAACTCAAATCAGAATAGTTTAATCTTAGATATTAATTATCTAAAATAAATTTTATATTAAAAAACATTAAAGAAATATTTTTTTAATTGTATTTAAAGAAAAATGTTTATATTTGTCAACTGATTGCCAACAAAATCTGACCAAATTGTTTGGAAGCACTGCAAAGTTGAAAGCTAATCTAAGCATTGGGTTGTGGTGCTCTTAGGAAGGGGAAGGGTAGAAAGTTTGTCAGACTATCTACAAAGAGAAAAGGAGAAAAGCGATGCAATTTTAGAGAGAAATTTCAAAGGTAGAGAGAATTACTGGGAACAGCAAAATGATTCCTTATAAAGAAAAACAAATCTTCAGTTGTTGCATAATTAGTTAACAAGTTAAAATAATATAGTGTCTACAATCTTATACTTTCTTCAGAGATCTGACCTAAATCTCACTAATTCCATTGGACTTTCTATGGGGAATACACATTCTTGGTAATGTAGATTCTGTAAATAAATATCCCATCCTAAGCAATTCCAATGGTTCAGCCACAAAGGAAAAATTATTATAAAACTGGATTATCTATTACAATGCCATCCTTATTGCTATCATCCCCAAATATGATAAATAAGAATAACACTTTTGAACCCTGTTAGAGTACTAATGGAAAATTCATCTATTAATATGTAACACTTTAACAATATAAGTAGAGAAAACATTAATAGAATTCAAGAAAGATAGCATAACAAAAATTCAGAATATTCCAACTATTTAATCCTCTCTATAAAGGTCAGAAATAAAACAAAACTTGAAGTGTGTATATGTACACTCAACTTACTGTTTACTTCTGAAGTGTTAGCTGAACATATAAAATATTTAAAATTTTATTAAATAACAAACATACAGAACAAAACTGCAAGTCTTTATTTGACAAATCTGTTTATAAAAAAAATAATAAAATTACCTAAAATAATCAAGTTGTCTAAAACTGTCTCAATGCTAAACACCTAAAGCTATACTGTTACATTTCTGTTCCCAGCAATTCTAGTCTCTTTTCTGATACTCCTCACATTTACATCTATCATTCCGTTCTCAACTAAATTTAGACTAAATCTATTTATATTCTACTTCAGTGGAACAGCAAGGCACAAAAAAAAAATTAAATAAATAAATGATAATTGTAGTAATAAATGAAAAATTATCATGCAAAGAAATAATTAGAGGAAAAATATATTGATATTTATATGTATATATATAAATAGATATGGATATAGATTATATTATATTACTTTTTGAAAGGAAGGAGAGAAAATAGAGTTGTAAAAATATATCCTTTTAATAAAACACGCAGTCGATGTATGGAAAATCATAGGCACTGTTAAAGTAGGAAAAGGGATGATGTGGGAATAGATAAATGGTAGGGATTTTTTTTCTTTTTATTTTATTTTTTTAAGAGGTTAAGGATTACTTTTATTCTGGAGAGAGAAAAATAAGAGGAGAGAATAAATTTAGGGAAAAAATAACAAAAGGTTGAAAATATTCCTATGGAGGTTTTTCTTTAAAGTTTTTTTGACAAAGGAAAATAAAGTTTTAATTTAGAAAATATATCCACAGGTTTGGTGCAAACTGATGCCACCACATTGAACAGGACTTGTGGAATGTGTGGGTTAAATTTAATCAAGGTAGTGGAAGACTGTCATTGTTACAAGGAGTTGCACACAGAGGCAACAAGTACAAATTGTTCCATGAATTATTCAGACTGGTATCCTTCTTTTGTCTTTTTAATTAAAACACATTTCTGCTAATGCTGTCCTCAGTTGTATAGGTCATCTAATAAAAATTATTCCTCCCTCCGCCTTTCATTTATAGATAGTTCTATATCTAAGCAACAAAATAATCCAATGAGCATTGCTTAGCTATAGAACCATCTATAAGAGAACAAAAATCAAACCAGATGAACAATACATTTGAGGAAGGCAGAAGAACACATCAGCTAAAATGTGATAAAAAATAAGGATGGAAGTACTAGTACAAATAACTCCTAGAATAATGACAATGGTTCATATCAGAATTTCACAGAAGTACAAATCAATTTAGACCATTTTTCATACACTGGATATTGGCAGAGAACAAATAGCCTTTGCTATGGCAAATGCATGAAAAATTAAATCTGAGAGAAAGTTAATTCTTATTATATGTGTCAATTGGAAAGAGCAATAAAATACAAATTCTAACAAAAAAAAAAAAAAATCTTAATATTTTCACTTAAATATTATTTTCATTTTTAATACACTAATGTAATTTATTTAAAACTTAACATTGAGGAATCTATATAGAATTTAAGAATAATCTTTAGTTGGTGCTTTCACAAAATATTACCGAAATGATAGGTTCTACAATTATCAATATATTAGAATTTTTGACCAGTCACTTACATCAAAACCTATGGGGATTGAATAAAGACATTATAAATACCTAATAAGTATATAACAAATTTACATAATGTCTTTCTGTCCAGCTTACATGACCAATTCTTTTGTTGCTCTGTATGTACTCACTGGTGGTTTGTACAGTCTTCCTACTTGTGCTGTCGTTGTGATCCTGCCTACACAGCTAGTGCAAGAGAGAAGGGCTCTTCTCTGTGGTGCAGTCGTTGTGACCCTGCCTCTACAGACAACGATCTAGCCAACACCACAAGGTGGGTGCACAAGTGGTGTGGTCGTTGTGGATCCTGCCTCCAGCCTATCTAGCTAGCTGGCCAACCAGCCAGCCTGCCTAGTGCAGAGAACTTGGTCAGAGATTTAGTAGTAATAGTATTATTTATGGTAGTATTAATGATTATTACATTAAGAATTTTTATTAGTTGTAATAGTAATTGTGGTAGTTATAATAGCAATAGGTTTGGTTGTAGTAGAGTGCATTGGTAAAGCAGTGATTTTTTTTTTTATTGTTTTCCTAAACAACTTGGCAGACAATCAACAAACATATCATCGAAAAAAAAAAAAAAAGTTTTTTGTAATAATTAATGAAAAGAATTTAAATATTTTATCTAAAGAAAGAACAACTTTTGTTTTAGTGATGGAAAAATTATGACTTAAAAGGGAATATTTTAAGTATTTTTTTAAATTTAGATAATTATTTTTTATTTTAAAAGAAAACTTTTTAATCATTTAATTTTCTTTAATAAAAGAAATATAAATATCTGAGTATGCATCATTTCATAATTTGGTTTTTATTTTCAATGCAAACAATTGCCACTAGATTCTTAATTCAAATTTGGACTCTTGGATATGATTTTATTTTTGTTAGCATTTGATATAATTTAGATTTAAAAAAGAAATAAAATGAAACTATCCAGCAATAATTTTATTATGTCCCTAAATAAAATAAATGTACTGTTAGAAAAAAATTGTAAAATGCTACATATTCTCAAGTTTGCATTCCCATTACAGAACAGAAATCATTATCTCTGGGAGAAAAATAGGTTATTTGCTCATTATCATTATACATGTTAAATATAATAAGAATAACTAATTCCTATCAATGAATCATAATACTTGAATCACATGTATAATGTATTTGTATTGCCAACAATAAGTTACATTTTGTGTTAATAAAAACAGTTGGGTTTAGTACAATAAGATTGACGCCCAACAATTATATAAGTTACAATGCCAGAGAAGATGATGCTCTCCCTCTAAGTGGCACATTTCCACAATACTGAAGTGTAATTGTCTACTAAGAATATATCCCTTCTAAAGAACTAATCTGAAACCTACTTCTGCAGCAAACAGTAACAATCATATAGACATCAATTCATATTTCATTTTAATAATGCTTATATGATCCCAGCAAGAGAAACCAGAGTTGAAAAATTAACAAAAAACATTTTGATAGAATATTTTCTACAAATGAATTATTTATTAGTTAGAAATACTCAAATTGAAATGCATCTATTCTGAGAAAGAATTTAGTAATAGTTTAGTATTAGATGAGCAGCAATTGATAAACTTAACAACTTAAATAGTTGTGTAATTCCATTACTTAGTAAGAAGGTTCATGAAAAAAATGCAAGAGATTAAAACAACAAATATTGTAAAGAATTTTTTAGTTTGATTAATAAAAAAAAAAGTTATTTCATTAAAGAATTTCAAGCATAGAAGTAGAACTTAACTTTTACCACTTCAAGTGATCAATAAAAAATTATTTAAAAATGAATTCAATGAATTAAAGGCTGGATTTGTCCCTTGCTTAAATGAGATTAAGAGAGAATAAACACCATCTTTATGATAAAGAAGGATGCTAGAACAACATATAACAGGAAAGAAAAATGCACAAAAGGAGTCAAGTGTTAAACATCTCCTTATGGTTTAACAAGTATGAGAAATGTAGCATAATGTTAGAAAGAGTAGTAGCAGCAGTAGTAGTAATACCTGGCAACAGTTACTGAGAACGTCAAGCATAGGGAACAGGAGGAAGGGAGATAACTGAGGTGAGAAGAATGGTCATTGGTTTCTTGTAGTTGATATAACAGTAACTTGAAAGTCTGTTGAGAAGCTACTTTACTCTTCTCCGCCATAGTCTAGTATGTGCTCAAAAGAGAAAGGCTGGAACAAATAACCAGTTCCTTGATAGAATTTGTTTTGGAATTCAACCCTGTAAAAAATAAAAACAAAAATGATTAAATTAAACTTTGGGGGTTTATTTTCTATTATTTCAATTACTTCATAACATTCTCTTTTCAAATAAAATGAAATTATTATTTCACATGCCATTAGCATGTAAAGTGGAATGATCAGATTTTGAAACTTAAATGATTTGCTTTAGAATAATAACATATCATTTCAGATATTCTCATCTTTCTTAATTATAACTAGTTTTATTTAACCTGTGAAAATTTCACGCATTTCCTATTTGAAATTTCTGATGAATATTAATTCTTCAGTTAATGATAAGCTCATGATGAGTTTTATGACAGTAAAATCCCCCTATTGCATCATGAAATATTTGAGCTTAAAAACTTTAACAAAATACTACAATAACAATCATAAATGTGAATGCTGGTCATTATTTTAAGAAGTGGGTACAAATGAAAAAATTGCAAATTGGCAACTTTTTCCATTTCTATGAAATCAAGAACTCCAAAAAATGATAAAGCAAACACCTGTTCTGATGCTGCATGCACTCCTAGAAGGTTCAAAGTATGGTTGTCACAATTCACAAAGACTGCTTTCAGGTTTCTCTGTATGTTTTTGGACACCAGATATCTTTCCAGCCATTGTTGCAACATTGTCATATGTCTGTCCATGACAGTCATTCAAATCAAGACCATCTTGTTCCAATTTTGAAGTAGTGCCGAACATAATCTCATAGTATCTGCTTATTTTGACTCTGTAGGATAGACTGACATACTTCATTACCCAAGTGAACTCCTTCTGTATCTTGCCAGACAAAAATGTTGCATAATGTGGATGCAACTTGATATAATCCAAGTGATGCTACAACAGAGAGTCATACTTGCTAAGTAGCTTAACAAGTGCAAGAAAATTACCCAAATTATTACTTGATGCAATGTCTTCTCAGTGTCCACAAAATGTCAAATGCTGAGTCATCAAAAACTTGATACAATCCACAAAACACATCAGCAGATCCTTCCACAATTGCTTCTGTTCCTTCATATGCTTCAGTATTACTCTGAAAATCACATATCAGAAGAGTCTACAATTGACAAAGTCTTTCCTTGCAAGAAATGACACATGGTGATGAGTACCCTCTTCATGTTTTGGTATTCTTTCATTGCATTTTTTCCATTTTCAAAATCTGCAAGATTTTTCGAATACCGTGTTTTGGTTAACTGAGGCTGTTGAAAACAAACAGCAAAAACAATACACTGCAATTAACACCCACATATTCTGTACTTGTTTCACTTCTCATCGCTTCTTCGACACATCAGTTCTTAATAAATTCCTGATCTTTTGTAACTTTGAAAGGGCTGTCTTTGTTCTGAAAAGCTTTAGCACCCATCTTCACCAGTTTATCGCAATTTACATACAAATTTAAATAATACATGGCTAATACTGCATATTTAGTTTCATCATATTGTGCATGTTCATCAAATTGGCAACAAAACAAAGATGAAGGCTGAGCAAAAGCATCCAATGAAACTGCTTTACCTCAGAATCTATTCTAATTTAAAACAGCTGAATACATATGTTGCAATAAAGCATTTTTCCCTATATTCTCAGCAGGAGTGCATGGTTTTCCATAATAAACTTCAAAGACTTTCATTTAGTTTTTTGGCATAGTATAAGCATATAATATTATTATTATTGTTGTTGCAGTGAAGGCTACAAAAAACACACTGCAAAGCTTTTGCCAACACTAACGACAACAAAAATTGTGCCATAAAACTTGTGAATCTTTTCACATCAAAGCCCTGTATATGAGAATATACAGCATGTTATATATGACACTGAGTTACAAAAAGATCATTATATCTAAATCTTTTATATAATCATTGAAATGCTATGATCTACCAATTGAGATGTGGAGAAAAATCACCATTATTATTATTTTATAAGGAAACACCGAGTTTACCATCTCAGGAAAACGTGTTATAACATTAATATGGATTAGTTTTCAATCTGGCCTCAACTAAGGAAAAACAGAACACATTTTGTTGTTTCTTTAACAGATTTCACATTTTGGCCAACATGCACTTCTGTCCACACTGTGCATGACTGAAGTACTGATTGAGAAAATAATTCATGATGCACAGTTAATCAAATCTGTGGGCAGTCAAAAAAAGATATTAAAGTAAATAAAAAGGAGGAAATTTTAGGTCCTCTTCAACCACTTTTTGAATTAATTTGCTGACATTTTCACCAATAAATATGTTAAAACTTGTCCTACCCTAACCCAATTTGGTCTTAATTTTTCACCACATCTAAATAAGTTTAGTTAGATTGGGTCTAGTTAGTTTATAAAAATATTGGAAATTCACTCTCAGTCCAGATAAACTTGCCAATCACCAAGTGATTTTGTGTCCTATGATGGTGTGCCCCAGAGGTCAGCCCCTCTCTATGTTCCACCACTGGACAGACAATTATTATATGATTGTTTTAATTGATCATTATTCTAACTGAAAGTTTCCTTAAAAAATAAAAAAAGTATGAATATTTCCTAATCATAGTGAAAAAAGAAAATTATCAGAATCCACATTTTTTTTTTATTACAAGCTCGACTTCATATTAATATTATCATTCACAGGATGTGTACATTAAAACTAGTTGTAGTCGGCACCTACTTGCATCCAAACATTGGGTTTGTCATCCTTTCCTTATTCCCTTTCTCCCCTCTGATGGCAGCAGCGGAGATGGCTGTGATGACCCAGCCTACTCTTTAAGAGTAGTCAAAGAAGAGCCTGATGAAACTATTCACCTGAATTTGATTTTGGTGAACAACTGTACGTGACTGAGACGCCCAAACACTTGGCCAGAAATACCACCTTTGCAGTTCAAAGGGCAATTGAGACAGGCAAGATCTGGAAAACCTGGTTGCATCAAGCTGTCAGATACTTGGTCTGTCAAGGTCTGCTTTGGTTACACCAACCAGACTGGTGCTGCCCTCTTCCACCAGTTTGGTTGTTGAGATTGTGTAGATCTTTGCCTATTCCATCATTGGGGGTCTTGATAACAAATTATTCACTCTGACATCCAGTCTAAAACATATATGATCATTCCTTGTCATGGTAGAGTGTGACACTATTTAGCTATGGTAATTGGCTAACTAATTAACCATAGAAATTAAAAACAGGAAATACTTAAGGCAAGAAAGAACTATATCAAAAGATAGACTGATCAACGTTAAAAAGATTTTATTTCATTTACAAATAAAGACACTTTTCACAAGAGACAGAAAATCCGTAAGAAAAAGCAAGATGTGGGATTCTGTCAAATTGATTAATGTCATGGTAAGGGAATGTTGCGTCAAAGGGAACAGAATTCAGAAAGAAAAACAAAGCCGGCCGACACATGGCAGTCATAAAAAAATTGGGGCTTGAGATAACTACGATACAGGCAGAAAGAATCAATATTAATTATCTTTCAAAGATATCTATTTTTGATTCTTGGGTCCAATGAAGAGAGGCCATGTGATGTGTGTAAGAATTTTGGCATGAGAAAGAAAATTGTGGAGAGAAGTATTATTGTTATTTTATCAAGGTGTCGACGTCGGATACTGCGTCGTCAAAAAGACATCTGGCAATAAGAGAATTTTAAGGCATGAGAAAATAAAGAATTTGATTTCTCAAGTAAACACAGACCCCCAGTTAAAAGTTGACCATGAAGAAGCCAGATGGCAGGCTCTTGACAGTGATGGATGGAAGTGCAGAGGTTTTGGCCGATGGGAAAAAAAAGAAAATTTTGTAAACAAAAATTCTGGGTAATAATTTTAAGAAGGCCAGTTTAGCCACACCCACACTGCTGGGAGATCATTGGTCAAGTGGTAGCATGGGTGATAGGCGGAGGTGAATGTATGAGAAAGGGGGAGAAGTTGGTAACGCCCATTGATATCTCATACCAAGCCCCTCAATGTGAGAGAGGAAGAGTCTAGGAGGATAACTCTCCTCCGACCTCCCCTCACAGATGAGGGAGAGTTATATTGATGAACAGCTTAAGATACCAAAACTCATTTAAGAAATGCAAAAGTGTCACAAATCCATAGAAACGGGCTGGGAAAAAAACACACTCCTGTGTATAATCGATGGATAAAGATTATTTGTTATTTCTCAACATACTTGAACCTCTTGGGTTTTGTTTTATTGTTTCTTTTACTTATGCTTGTGTGATATCACCTTCACTTCAGACTCAGCTTGCACTACAGCCCGACGCCTGATTGATTTCATCTACCTAAGATCAAAGTCACAATGTGGGTAAGTTAGACTTGAGATCAAAGCAGTTACTTTGGTAACCAGACGTTGGAAGTGAGCTGAGAACGACAAAGCTGGTATCGAACCGGGAATGACCAGATCAACCGGGACACAGGCTGGTGGCAGTGACAAAGAGTCGCTCCAAAAACGCTGGTGGAAGAAACCTTACAGCTTCGCGCCACAACTGGGAGTTGACTGTGGTCCGACAGCGCAGTGTCACATATTGACGTCATGACCAGAAGGACGTCACATATTGGCGCTGCGACCACCAGAGGGTGTCACATATTGGTGCCATGACCAGGATTTGACCCTAAACCAACCACTGCCACAGGAGTTGCGGAAAATTTCGCCCAGGACAACACACGGCCTCTCAAGTAGACAAACAGAAACAGACTAGAGTGGGAACCAAAGGACTTTGGTTAATTATAATTATACAGTTCCAGACCCTCTAGTACGACAGCGCAGTGTCATATATTGGTGTCGCGACCACCAGAGGGTGTCACAGAGGGCTTGCATGTCCCAGTGATCCCAAGAACAAAGCTGTCTAGAGTTTCAACTCCTGTAGGGCCATTTATGACAGTAAGGTCAAGGAGGAGTGACCAGACTGAATGTGACCAACCCCTGAAGTAAAACTAGTAAAATGATTATAAAAAGAAAATAAGATTAAAAAAAATTTTCTTTTCCAGTAAATGTCATTCATTAATTATATACAATGCTGGCTAAAACTGTCCAAAATATACCTTTTAAATAAATTTTTTTGCAGTAATTACCAAATTTAAGGGTTTAGTTTTAAAATTTTTTAATTGCATTTAACCCTTTAATATATTTTAATTCATTACACATTCCATTTAGTAAAATAATTCTAATTTACTTTACAAAGCATCATTCTCTCCATAATTGAAACATTGCAATTTAATTTGGTGCAGTAATTTTTATGACAATAGTTGCCATGTAAAAGGTTTTTCTCGTAACAAATGTAGAGAAAAGTATATCTTACCAATGCAATCGAAGAGCATGAAGGAATGCAGAGAGGCCTTCCATTACTAATAATACTGTTATGGTAAGAACGGCCCAGAAGGGAAATATTAGAAACATGAAAAAGATTCCACTGTAGCCATTTGCCCTCAAGGCTATTCTCATCACCATGGTCCACAAAACCTCAGACAATTCTGAAAATAGAGAATACCAAAAAGATTTCAAAAAATTAAAAAAATAGTGACAAAGTGTTGTGGAATTTATATTGTTTTCTTAAATTAACAAAGCCAACTTAAACACAAGACCTGGTTCACAGATTGTCTTAGTGAGGATCAAACTCATTAGCAATGGCTTGCAAAAAAAACAAAAAAAACAAACTAAGATGCTAATCATCAAATCATACTAGTATATTGTGATATGAAGCATTTTTCTTTTTTTGAAGGAAAAAGTAAATTTACAAGGCTACCTGAGATTCTAAATATCTATATAAAAAAAAAAATACCTCTACAACTGTGAATTGGCAGATTAAAATAAGCAGATACTTACGTGCATGTGCTAAGCTGAGAGCCCACAATCGAAGATAGGATGCTGTGTTGGAGATGCAACTTAAACAATACTCAATGGTGTGGATAGCTTGATGTATTTGTATATCTTTAAAATCAAAATCCTACATTACAAGAACAAAGGAAATACAGGTAAGTAAAACATAAAAGAATATGTAAAATCATTTTACAGCAAGATTAAAAAGCAGAAGATAGACAAGCAGAAGGCTTAAGAGCTTGTAGAAAGAGGTTAGTGAACATAACATGCATTGTAAGATTTGATCTTTCCTTTAATGTGATTTAATAAAATTAAACCTGATATCACTATTTTGATGAAATACCCCTATTAATTTCAGATAAATATTCTCACTGTTATACATTGAAAACAGCAACTTATTTATGAGCTTCCAAATCTTTTGTACTTAAAAGATTATTCATGAGGACCTTACCAGAGGTTTATTGCTGCCAACTACTGAACGAGTTCTTTCAAGTTAAAAGCTCTACTTGGCTAGCTTTCAGAATCATTTTTTAAGATAATTTTTGTAACATCTTAGTATCAAGGAGTTAAAATAAAAAGTGTGTACAAGATAAATATCTTAGAAACATCCACAAGTATAATAAAATCTAACATGAATTAATATTTTTTTTTTTTTTTTGTAATTACAAGGAGTAAAACCCAAGGAATCAGAAATAACACAATCTTTGCTTTTAATAAAGAGAAGGTAAACTATAAAATATGTAATCTCCATATCCTGTGTCAGTGTGTAGGGAACTTTGTAAGAGAACTGCTTTAGATTTGGGGTTAAGAAAAACTAGCTGCTCATTCTTGACCTAAAAGAAAAAAAAAAGTAAATTGCCTACAAATCAATACTATAACCAGAAGAGATTTTTTTTTATTTATTTTTTATTTTAATGACAGTTCATTTAATAAAAAGACCACAGACCACTCAAAGTAGAGGGTTACTGAGAGAGATTGTAAGAGAGGAGGAAGTAAGAAAGAATTATGAGGACAAGCAGGATAGATATCAAACTGAACTTAGAGAGACCAAGATTGTAGTTGTCATGAAAGCATTCTCTTGGGAGTTTGGAAGAAACAGTTCTGGGGGAAGAAACTGAGTAGAACTTGCTTTTTATCAAAGGAACATGAAGGGAAAGGGGAGCTATCATTAGCACGGCATGGTGGATCCTAACTATGAAAGTTCAAGCTGGTGGAAGAAAGGAATAAAACTAGTCTAAACATCTTCCACAGTAATTAGCAATATAGTAGTGAAAGGCTGGCACCATTTCATCTATAGGATAAGGGGTTGCAGGGTGGAGAATAATTAATCACCCACTAGACTGCATAAGCACTTTTGAACTCTGTCAAGGTTGGACAGTGAGGATTGGGCAGCACCAGCGCAGTTCTGACAGCAATTCTTGATTCTTGGTCTGATCTGACTCAGATAAAAATAGAACACAGCAGTGAGAATTAGGTATTTTCTGGACCAATACAATGAACCAATTATTCCAGCATCTTTTGCAATGACACAAATGTGTTCCATCTGAGATCAGGAGTGAGCTTTAGCCGTAGTAGGCATTTGAGGCAATAAGCCTCTTTGAGGGTATAACCATTCATCAGGATTAGTGAAGGTTTAGGGTCTGCTCAGTGGTGATGAAATGTTATGAGTTTAGTTTAAGATGTATCGATATTAGCCAGTCTTTTCCCCATTGAGCTGTGAGAGTTTGGTCAGAAGAGAGATCAGTTGGCAGGTACTGGTCATCAAAATATTTGAAGATACATCCATAAACTATAGTATCATCTGCATATATATTTACTAAAGATTTGAGAGTGTTCTTAGGCAGATCATCGATACAAAGCAGAAAGAGAGTAGGACTGAGGAGACAACTTTTGGGTAACGCCACCAACATTGATCTCATGCACCTCAGAAGACTGGCCATTAACAACGACCTGCATAGACCTACCTGACAGGGAAGACTTGATAACTGAGAGGACAGAGTCAGTGATTCAATAGCTGGTCAGTTTAGTACTCAACTTAATTTGTAATAAAGAATTAAGTGATAAGAGGAAAATAACTGAATAAACACTACATAAGTCATTTAATGGTAAAAAATTTTAAAAATTAGAGTTCTCTGTTGTATTAAATAAAAACAATTTTAAAGGGAAGCTAATGAGTCTAATATTCCCCAAACCTTCAGAGACCTGAGAGCTGTAAAAATACTATTCATTCAACTCCCAAAAACATTTTCAATACCTGTAAATCAATTAAATAAAAAAAAAAAAAAAAGTCAAAAAGTCTATTATAATTCTCAATCCTAGAAAATCATCATACAATTTCATTAATCAATAAATAAAAAATAAATAAGGTTTATTTGGTCTGATATTTAATGTAAAGACATTAAAAAAACTACTTTAAGCTGTATCCAACCCCACAAAAAATGTAGTTTAACAATTTGTTTATTATAGTGCTACATTAAAACCTTTAAGGTTGGAAGCATCCAAATATACTTGCAATCAATTAAAGCTTTATTTCAATACACAGCAACTTTTGTTGTAGATTTCCAAAACCATATCTCATAACTAGTAATACCAAGAGAATTAAATTTCTTATCTATTGAAAGAGAAATTAATTTACTTTCATATAAAATAAACTTGTAATATTTGATTTTCAACAGTTTTTTTAGATATAAATTTAATTGCACTAATATTGCATATTCAGATTTTTCAACAATTCAATCAATATTCGAGGGAATATACAATTGAACTCTCTTAAGGGCTAACAGGGTTAATAATGGTTTTAATTTTTTTTCTAAAAGTTTATTTCTTTAATAGACTAAAATATAGAAATAATATTATAAGAAAGATTATATCAGGACTGAATGCTGTACTTTAAACTATAAGCAAGAATTTGTACACATTTTACAGTTGTGCATTTATTTTTATATTTACTTGCTGATAATTATTTTAATCTTAAAAGAACAGAAAAAGTTCATAATTTAAGATGTGGAATGTTCTGAAGAAATAGGTTTTTTCCTCTTTTCTTACAAATTATACATCTAACAAAAGCTGAAGAAATGATCAGCTGAAATGTCATGGTCATAACATCAAGAACACAAAAGAGTTCAAGTGTCAAAAAAAAAAAAAAATTAAACAACACTTAACAATGAATAATCATGTATGAATTAAAACCAAACTGTTGCAAATAAGTGTACATGTATCATAATTTAGAATTAATATAGCTTTTCTTTAAGTTTACCTCATTGAAAATATGTAGCACAAAATTATCTATGCTATAGACATGAAGACACATTCTACAGGACTAACTCTACAACTGGCTACATGTGCTGGGTTGGAAATTGGACCGGGGAAGGGGGAATTCCATGCTCATATTATTTAGTGTCAGGTGTGAAAAAAATACTCACACAAAAATTTCAAGAAAGCACAACACTGATTTGCACTGATCAACACACACAGAAATAGCATTCCAATACCAGATAAGACAAGGAACACAAATATACAGGAAGGAAGGTCAGATTATAAATACTTACCTGGAATTAAATTCTACAGTGAAATTTATTACAGAATGGAAAAAAACTAGTGGAACAAAGATAAAGCAGATTGAAAGAAATATGGATATGCATAGTTAAGAGAGAGAGATTTGTTACTAATACAGTAGCAATCCATTCTAATTAAAAATTTGCTGTCAGTTGTTAAACAGTTTCTAACATTGCTAAAGCTATTATTATTATTATTATTATTGTAATTTTTAGATTGAACAACTATTCAAATGTGATACTTATGCAAGAAATACTTTTAGCAGTAATTGCTTGCATAAATATTGGATAAAAATAAATATATCTTGGCATATATTATTAATCATTATTATCCTCAGAATATTATGTTAACAAAATATTACTTATTTGTTAATTATAGATCACCTACAAGTACCTTTTTTTTTTAAAAGAATTACTTTCAGTCTATGGTTGAAAATTGTATAATAGAAAAATTTTAAGGAGAAATAAAATTATTTTTATGCTTCACATTTTTCAGCTCCTAATACCTTCAAAAGCTTACTTTGAGTTTTTTGTTATAAGCTAAGAGTTGGCAAAAGAAAGAAAAAAATGAAAAACTTCTAAACAGTAAGTGGGCACAAAAAAATGAAAATATATTTTTTCAGTAAGAGCTTATATATTTACACATTGATAACTTGTGCATTCCCCCATATTGCTTTGTACCTTATATCTTAAAACAGGACTCCTGTCCTCTATATGTTCCAGTTTAATGCACAATTATATACCATCTAGAACTGCTAATAGAAAAAATTTGATTTGAACCTACTACATAATCTAAAGATATATGCCAAGAAAATTCTCATTTAAAAAATTTCTTATAAAACCTAATATTATCTATATAATCCTGAGTAAAATATTTTCTACTGATATAAAAGTAAATTTATGTTAATTTCAAACATTTTTTATATACCATGTAGTACTCAAAATTTAACTTTATTGTTTGCAGATTATACATCTCTTAATTCATATTTCTTATTAGGTTAATAAAATTAAGAGACAATGAGCAGAAACAAGTTTTAAAAATCTGTTAAAAATATTTTTCCAATTTCCTTTATCCATGAAGCAATAGTTGAACCTAAAGTGATAGTGAGAAATGCTGTCATTATAACATTTAGGAGAAAAAAAAATCAAATGCAAAGAGAAGTTGATGCATTATATATAAAAGAGAGAGGAAAAAAGGAGATAGAAAAGAGAAAGAAAAAAGTCGAAGGAAAAGAAAAAAATGAAAAAAAAATAGTAAATAACAGTTTACCACCTTAGATTAGTGCAGAAATTTTCTTCAAAATTCAAACTAGTATTTGATTGAGGAGTATCTCACAGCTTGTGACAGACAAGAAACACATCAATATTACAATGGCCATTTATTTTATTATCAGACCATTGTAAAATTGATTGTGACAAGTATAATTAGGTATAACTCTTTGTACATCAATCCACTTACAGTTTGTCCTAAAATTAGTGTACAGATTTAGAGTTCTTTATATTACGCTGTACAGCAGAAGAGGCTAAAAATAAAATAAATATGTTTTATGAAATGTTTAAGAGAGATAATTAACTTGATGGGATGGATTTATGTTGTGTACCATCTAAAACGCCAATCACAATATGCAATTGAATAATCTTCTTTGCATAAAAAGGTATATAGATAACTGGACCCTGTCAAGGCTGAAAAAGGGTGTAACAGCTTTTTTTCATTGTCCACATTCTCACACACCCTGTCTTTGTCAATCATCTAATATGCAACCAATAGTACATCTTTTGTTACAATATCTGGTGATGGAAAAGAAAGTAAAGATTATTTGTAAGTTTGTATGTTATGTTATAGCTATAAAACTGTTAAATGCATCAAAAATATGTAAGTATTATCCAATTGCATCATTAGCAAATTGAAAAATAAAGCCTCTACAAGTTTGCAATTTTTGTTTATTTGTTATGCTATAGCTATAAACTGATAAATGCATTAAAAATACATAAGTACTATCGAATTACATCATTAGTAAATTGAAAAATAAAGCTGAAATATTTTGATTTTTTCACCCTTATTGCGTATATGGTAAAATGAAATTTTCGGTTTGGGAACAATCTTTTTCAAGAACTAAAACAAATTAAGGCCTTTTTCATTAGTTTTGAACTAAAGTTCATCAATTTATGACATAGGAAGATAGGATTACAAAAAAGTCATAACCCTAATGTTCATAGGAGTTGGGAGAGGGTTAATGACATTCACCCAAATAATCTAAGTGAGAAGATATCAGATTTAAATGTAAAAAAAATAACAATATAGATGTAAGCAAGTGTGGCTCCTCTGCAGGCAGTGATATTTTTGTATGGTAGGGAAAGATCATTGGTAAATCTACTCTACAGCACTAAGGTTAAGATGGCTGAAATGGAAAGAAAAAAGTTCTTACGTGTTCTGATGCACTTGTCGAATAAAGAGGATAGAAATAAGTGTTTTGATGAAGGAAGAAAGAGAGAAAAAAGATTTACCTGTTTTGGTATTTCTGGTGCTGGGCTACCACCATTTTGAATACCCTAATTGTATAGAAGCAGAAGATGAAGAGAGACCAACACACAAGTCACATGCCATTTAGTGTGATAAAGTGATTGGAAAGTGATAAACTGATTCTTCTCAAAAAAAAAAAAAAAAAAAATTATCAGGAAAGTTGATTGAATAAATTAAAATTGATCTAAGTTCTCAAATTTGGATGACAAGGCTGAAATTTTGTGGATGCAGACATTGGATCAATTCTGAGATTCTTTTCCTATGTATAACTGTCTTTAGATATTGAATGCTATATAAGAGGAAGTTTGTATAGTTTACCATACAGAGTCATATTTGCCAAGACAGACAAAAGAAAAAAAAAATGCAACTAAAATAAAATCTGTGGAAAGTACTTAAAGATTTATGCTGTATTCTAAAATAAACTTTTTTGACCAAACCACCAGTCACTATTTGTATGTATAAATGAAGAGAATGGTGAAATTTATTGTAGACTTGATCATCAAAGCTTTAAACAGAAAATAAAATAAAAAAAATAAATATAAGCAAGCTGTGGGTTTCGAAAAATAACAAACAGGATGATCTCAACTCGAAGTAGAATCTTCATTCAGGTGTAAATTGTCTATATTATTTAAATCAAGTCCAAGGTAAAAGAAAAATATTCCTCTATAACTTTGTTTCTTAAGGGGATAAACAATAGTTCATTTCAGCAAAATGAACTCAGACTGAAATTAGACATGGCATTAGGATTTTTATTTACTTACTGCTTTTTAAGCAGTTTTATACTTAATATATAAAATATTTTTTTTTTAAATTAGTTTTCAGTGGATGTTAATTTTAATTTAAGTGGGTAATATGAGATGCTTTCAAATGAAACATTTTTGGACTTGATATTTTTATAAAGAGGATTATAATAGAATTATTTTGATACAACTTGACTACTTCATTGTTGTTTTGCATAGATACATGCATGTTTAAAACAATTCTTATAAATAAATTATTTAAAAAAAAAATCCATATTTTCCACTTCATAGAAGCACAGCAAATCAATTCCGCTAAAATATTTCTTATGCTCTTTCAATTACAAATCGATTGCATGAAGGATAAGAAGAAGCCTAATATGATTGATTGACTCATTTTTTTTACAACTTATCAAGATATTTTGAATTGGAAGAATAATTCTTTATTTTTTTTTGCAAGTGAAGGAAGATAAGGATTTTTCCAGATACAAGTCATACTATTTAACCCATAGCTGGGAGGAGAATAGGAATAAGTGAACATAAACTCAACTGGAATTCAAACTCGACTCTCCAATTTCTTATTCCAAGCCACAATCCATTACACCACCCACACTTCCAAACTAGTATGATAAATCTGTGCTAAGAATGCTAGGAATAATTCTATATTCAACTATCCAGATAGTGAATTAATATTGAAAAAAATGAATTATTTCTTAAGTTTGGTTAGTTTGAAATTATGAATTAGTAGAAGAAATAAGCAGCAGAAAAGTAAACATATACCATTTAGATGGCAAAGAAGCATGCAAAAATGGAAAAGAAAAGAAAAAAAATTATATATAATGGTACCAAAATAGAAAGTTTATTTTGTTATTTGTTTTAAATTAAAATGTGAGAAGAAAATGCAAACATCAACTCACATAAAAAAAAAAGAAAGAAAAAAAAATCTCCAGTGACACAAAAATGCATTTGTGCCAGAGTGAAGACAAAGAAATCAGCAAATAATCTGAAGCTGACCACAAACAAATGCAGACACACTCACATGTAAACACAGATATATATATATATATATATATATATATATATATATATTGTTACACACACACACACACACACACACATACATACATACATACACACACACACTTATTAACATACAGTTGTGATGGTAGCCTTTGCAGTCAAGAACAAAAAATTTCTTAAGTAAAAATAAAAATTTGTTCCCCCTCTATTTGAATAAAGTCATCTTTCCATTGGTCAATCTTCAAAGTAACATTCTATAGTTAATGAATATTAAGTTGACTTCCTCAAGACAACCATAAAACAGGCACAATTAATTACAGGTATTGGAGGCGATATCATCAAGCTAGAAGTTTTTAAATTTACTTTTTAAAGCAAAGCTATCAATTTACATTTATCAATAAATTAATTTCTCATATCAGCCAAATTATTTATTGCTTATAGACCCAATCTTTCAATTGGCAACTCTTAAATTTACGGAAATTATCTATGTGAACTATTAAAATATATCTATATACAATAATTATTCCCCTATTTTTATAAGGTAACAAATTTTAACAATCTAATATATATTTTCATTAAATTATCTCTGCCAAATTTGTTATCCATGTTGTAAAATTCAGTTCAAATTCAATAAAACATTCTTTTTAGAAAAATATTTTTTCCATATAGAAAACCTACTGTAAGGACTCAAGTGGATATCCTTATAGCAATCAATATTTCAAAATTAATATTCAATTTAGTGATATTATAAAAGTCTTAAACAGCTTTAATATACTTAATCAACTGATGACATGAGTTGCTCAACCAAGTCAGTTATCAAATTGGGCTACTTTTGAAAGCCAAGTAATATTAATTTTGAGCTGCTAACTTTTTAGTAATTTTTAAAATAAATTTTGCTAATAAGTAGTCAGCTAAATCAAAATTGAATAGTACTGGACTTTCAAAAGTAGCACAATTCATTACTTGTAACCCAACATGGAAACCATGTGCCAGTAAATACAACTGTATAGATAGAATATGAAGATAGTAAGAGATCCACAGAATGTGCTTTACTGGAGAAGCTACCAATCACAAAACAAAGGAGAAAAAATAATAGGAAAACAATTTAGGAAGTAATTAATAGTTTTGTGTTGAGTAAAACATTTATCACCTCCTCAGGCTCCTGGCCAGAATAGTGGAGGCTGGCATCCTGTTCTCCTGTTGCATTGATGATGGCGTCTTGGTCATGGTTCACAAGATCCCCACTCTGAACTGACAGCTGCTGGTGTTCATACTGTGGGGAACCAACCGAACCATTAATAACAGTCACAATGAAGTGATAGGAGGGACAAACAAACAAATCAAAAACACACATACACACACTGGATGCAGGTCCACTTGTTCCAGGATAAAAAAAAATAGTCTGTGTGTTACAGAACATGAGATTGGTAACCCTTGAAGAGAAATACAGCAGCCAAGATGACTGTCAGCCATAAAACAACAAAAATGATTATTATTGCTTTTTTTTTTTTTTTTTAAGTATTTATTTATACAGAACAGCAGCACTGAGAATCAAAAGTGCTTTTATGTTTCCAAATGTGTCAGCAAAAGCAAGTTACTTGACAAAGCAGACCCAAAATAGATTGGCAACATATACACAACTGGACAGAAAGACAAAAAAACTATAGGAATATGATAAAAAAAAAAAATTAAAAAAAAAAGAGCGAGTAAAAAAAAAAAAAAAAAAAAAAAATGAAAATATGAAATTACTAAAACTAAAATTTTACATTGTGAATATAAAGAAAGTAACTACATTTACAATGTTGAATTTTTCATGAAACAAAAGATTTAATATAAATTGCTTAGAATTTCTTTTATTAAATATATATTTTATATTACCCATATCTATGCCCAATTTTAATAGCCTTATGCATATACATAATCTCAGAGTCAGTGACACTTCCTACAGAAAAATATAAACTAATACTAAATAAAATTCTAAAAGTCTATGAAACATTTTGGAAGCCAACAAACCAAACACTTATAGATCTACTTCCATAGAAGTGAAAACATGTTTAATATTTTATCTTTTAAGAGAAAACATTCACTGAATAATAATTTTAATGTATGCAACAAACTGATACAATATTTCTAAAAGTTCCTTCCATGAAAAGAAAAAACAAATTTTTAAATACAGATTATTTGTTTTTAGCTTTTATGTATGCAACTAAAACTGGCAATAATGTTTTATTAACTATGAAAGTTATGCTAAAACATCAATTACGAAATGTGGAAATATTCAATATTTAATGCATTGAATCAAACAGTTTTTCTATAATAAGCCCTTTAATTAAAACTATTTTGATTAAATACAATAATTATAAAGAAAGAAGTAAAATCTAATATTTTACCTAAGAAAAAAAATAACTTTACATAATTAAAATTATATATTATTTCCCTGCTTACAAAAATGTATTGGTAAAACTGTATTTTTCTTTAAAACTAAAAACTGGTAAAAAAAAAAAAAAAATATTGTTAGTAAACATTTAAATTGTGTTTCTCAGAATGTCCTCTAGTTGACCTCTTACCCAATATGTCAGTCAGCAAGTTCAAATGATATAGCATAATCTTAAAAATTTATCTGACAATCTAGACAAAAAAAAAAAAAACTTCTACATTTATGCAGGTTAGTAAACTAGTAATGATTGCTGGTTTACCAACTAAAAGTAATTAATGGATAAGTGAGATTATTTTCAAGTGACTCATGACTTACATACCTGCTCAATGTAATGCACATAGTATCTTTTATGAAGGGGTGCTGAAACTAAAAATGGATTAAAAAAAAAAAAAATTCTGATATTTGGTCAGATTTTAGAAGTGGGCAGGGCCAAGAATTTTTCTGCACTCCCTCATACAGAGGTATACATGTATATATTAACATAAACACATTTTTCAATCATACAACAATGTAAATACTTTAACTACAAAGGAATCATGAGATGCCCAAGTATAAAGTATAATGATGTATAGCAAAAAAATGAGGGAATGCACTTTGACCCAGTCTAAAATTGGCTTCAAGTTCACTGCAATAGATCTTGCCAACTCTGTACTTAATATGTATCCAATCATATCTCTATTATTTGAGTTCTAATGAAATAGTATAATCAAATAATGTAGTTTTACAGATAAAACCAATTATCTTATATACCAAGTAGCTAGAAAAGAGCCAAAGATATGTCTTTTATATATTGGAGTGTGCAGAACTGGATGATTTCACATCTCAAAAATATAGTATTTGATTATATGTATATATAAGTTTAGCAGGAATTGTAGGCCAAAAGTATTTTGAGATTAGGAGTCAATGTAGAATAACATTAACAACTATATCAATTTGTATCATGCACCAACAAGAAAATAGAAAACTGTTACATGCTCAGTTCCAAATAGATCCGTTTCATTTTTGTACATCTTATATGTTTGAAAAAAAGCAAGAAAACTTACCTTCTACAATGAAAAATAATTAAAGAAAATCATTTCTGTAATCTTAAAACTAAAAAGCAACTATATAATACTTGAATGCTGAAAAATATTTTTTAAAAAAGGTCAATTTCCAAAATATGAACTAAACAATTAGAAAAATAAGTTTTAATAAAAGCCTGAAAATTTTCAACACTGTTGATTATAAAAACCTTGGAATCTTGTATGAGAAAAAATTGTTCTAGAGTCAAATTTAACTTTATTACCCCAATGATCTGGTTTTGTTTATAAATGTTAAAAGTAAAATATTGTCTTTAATGCACAAACTTCATTAATAAAAATTGACAAAAGAAATGACATGACATGTTAATGTTTGTAAATTGAAAATTTGAAAATTCAAAAACAAAAATGTTGAAAAACTAAGCTGAGAAACTTTCCTCAAAGGTTATACAGATTCTTAAAATTCATATTTAAAATGTTCTTACTGGACTGCTACATTTTATAGAGTGCTTTATACCAGTAATAAAGTTCTTGCTTTAAGTTGGTGAGCCTATTATTTTGCTAAGATTCTTATCCATTAGCTGAATTGCTTGTATGAAAGGATGCTGAAAAGTTCTCACTACTATCAAGAAATACTTTAAAAAAAAAAAAAAATGAATTAAATTGACCATTTGGGCAGATTTTAGCAAGTAGGTTGAGCCTAGAACTTCTCAGTCATATATATTGTCACAAACTAATTGGGTTGTCCAGAAAGTTCATGCAGATTTTTAAGGGAAATTAAAACACAAAACAAAATTATGCCATAAAATATTTATTCAACAAAATATGAACCATTTTGTTGCACAACCTTTCTCTATTTTTCCTTCAACTTAAAGATTCCATCTTCCCAGAACTCTGGTGGATTCTCAGCAAAGAACTCATTAAGGTGGATTTTTATGTCATGCAAAGAATTAAAAAGTTTTTTGCCACTGAGATTTTGCAAGGACCCGAATAAATGAAAATCTGAAAGAGCAATGTCCGGTGAATATAGTGGGTGAGGTAACACATCCCAGTTAAGCAGCAACAATTTTTGCCAGGTCGCCAAAGAAACATGGGGTCTAGCACTATCCTGATGGAAAACAACACCTTTCCTGTTCACCAATTCTGGGCATTTTTCTTGAATTGCTGCCTTTAATTTGTCTAGTTGTGAGCAGTACTTTTCAAAATCAATTGACTTGTTACTTGGCAGAAGCTCATAGTAAAGTATTCCTTTCCAATCCCAACAGATGCCCAGCATGACTTTCTTAAGATCAAGACCTGCTTTTGAGGTGGGTAAAGTTGGCTCATGTCACTTACCCCAGGATCTTTTTCTCTGAACATTGTTGAAAATGATACAGTTCTCATAACCGATCACAATTTGTTTTAAAAAGTGCATTTTCATTATGTTTATATGGCAAATCACAAATGAAATGCAATCCAAAAGGTTCTTTTCACTCCAATCATGTGGTACCCAAGCATCATAGGGATTTGAGTACCCAAGTTTCACTAAGTGATCATGGATGGTGGACTTAGATAAATTTAGTGTTTCTACCAATTCCTGCATTTTGTGTAATGCGGGTTATTCTCAATCAATGTCTTCATTTGGTTGCCATCAGTAGTGGGGGGGATCCTGAGTGTTGTTCATCAATAAGACTACAAGACTTTATGCACAATGCAATCTTCAGGTGCTAAATATAGATTGACCATTACATAATTTAAAAATATCTGATTATTGCAATGTTAGCACAATTATATATTATACTGGGATTACAGTTTTTAATTTTAAAAAATATATTTGCATTTAAAATAAATGGGATTTGTGTGTGTGTGTAAAAATATATATATATTTTTTAGAGCTGTGATTATTAATAATTTTTATATTAAGCATAAAGTGAGATAACAAGTTGATCTAGATTAATTTTTAATGTAAATTGTGGCATTATATATATATATATATATATATATATATATATATATATATATATATGTGTGTGTGTGTGTGTGTGTGTGTGTGTGTGTGAGAGAGAGAGATTTTCTAAAAGTTTAATCTGGCACAAAGCTACAATAAAACAGAGTTAATGAGGGATGAACTCACAATAGTTTGCAAGGCTAGTTTGTTAACCAGTGTTTTATCGTCTACTTATGATAGTTCAAATATAAATCTCAAGTTTGTGACAATATATCTGACTGAAATGATAATGAGAAGCTCTAGGCTCAACCCATTTACTAAAATCTGACCAAATAATTGTTCTATCAAGTGAGGAATAATATGTATATTTATTAATATATACTTAATAGCTCTGTTGTATCATATTGAGCACTGTTTTATTAACACCAGCACTATATGTGTGATTATATATATATATATATATGCATATATATATTATTTTAAAATATATATATATATATATATGCCTTCTACTTGTTTTAAAAATGTTGCTCACAATGTTGGTTGTGACTTATGCAATAAAAGTTGAACATTCCCACCAATAACCCATTTCTTTTGCCTTGTTACAAATAGAAGGTGAGTGCCACTTTGACAAATATTATCAGATATGAAAATCTATATAAATAAAGTGCAGTGTACGTGTGTCTGGCATCTGGCCATTTTTTGATCTTGGCAAATCATATACAACCTGAAGTAACAGGTAGTAACTACTGTAGTTACACGCGATTAAAAATTAAATAAAAAACTCATTTAAAGTTAAATTTAAATATCAAACAGATATTACAAGGTTTAAAAACAATTTTTTATTAAATGTTTATTTTTAATTTCACATTTCATCACAATTGCAATTG